TAAGCAGACCTTCCTTTTTCTGCCTATCAGCCATGTATAAATAAATCTCTCAGTGCTTTCTATAAACAGACAGCATTTCTTCATTACAAATGACCTTTCTACTCTCCGCTTGATTACACAGAAAATGAACCGTGTCCAGGTAAAGGTCGTAGGATGTAGCACCTGTGAGAGTCCATCTAAGCACACAGAAGGCATGAAGTAAAGTTCTTTATTTTCTGCAGTGCCATAGCATTTTGCCCTAAAGCATCAGGTATGCTCAACAGGCTATCAACATCCAGCAGTGCCAGATGTATGGTATTGCATGAATGTGGTGATATTAGGGCAGATGTAATGTTTTGAGCATGCCCTGAAGTCCTGTGTGTGCCACATACCCCCAGAGTGCTACGCCCCTTTATACTAAATGTGTAGGTGTGGTCCCCTCTCAGTTCTGCTACCAGAACAGTTAGCCGTTCATAGGATATTTGAGGGAATCCTACCAAGCCATACAAGTGAGAAAAAGTGCAACATTCAGGTTAGCTTTTCCTGTCTTGTGTTTGGCTTAGAAAGAATAAGGCTGTGGAAGGTACTACTTCCTTAGCTGAATTTTGTGTAAAGCAGACTCATGCCTCTGGAGCATTGTTAGTAACATCCTGAGGAAACAGCTTTGGTGGGGGGGGTTATTGCCCATGTTCTGTGGTAAGACAGATCCTGTCACAACCCCAAAGATCAGTTTCTTTTAAAGGTCTGAATTTATGGAGTGTTAAAGCTTACACAGAGGATTACTTTCAGAAGATTGCATTTTCTGAAGCAGTTCTAGGACCCAACGATTTCTTGGAGTTATGCTCCCAGGAAGTTGACTAATAGGAGTAGCTGATGTAGCCAAGCTGTAATATAAATATATAGTGCAACCATCTTGCTCATCTGAAGGGTATATCCAGTAAACTTCATTGGATACTGTTTACTTTGTCCACCCTGGACTGTGAAGTCCACTCCTGACAATGAAATCATGATTTTTAATCATGATTTCAAAGAAAAGTCAAAAGAGTGGATCCCAACTCCTTCCTGCATTATAATGTTTCTGCTGTTATTACTGCATTTTCTCTTGATTCACTCAGGCAGCTAAGCCATGCTTTTGAGCTATCTGCTCATTTCAGAAACTGAAAGACAAGAATTTGTGGAACAGAAGGTTGCAGCTTTCCTTTACCCAGTCCCAAGATGCTGCAGGGCTGACTGCTGGCCATGCAGCCACTGCAGAGGAAAAAAACAAACAGTGATGCTCATGGGGTTTCAAAGGGGGGATATTGGCTGGTGTCTGTGGTCTGGATGTGGACTGCACTTTGTCAGAATTCCCTTTGATACATGGTTACAGCATTCAACAAGATCATCTAGTTGGCCATGGTATATTGATATTTTTAGCAATTTAATTAATAGAGCCTTGGAGAGTTTTTGCATTGTAAGAGCTGTGAAGTTAGTGCTGCAGGATATATTTTGATTTGGTTACATAGACTGGTCTGAGAACAAGAGTTTTTATGAGACAATGTTCTAGTGCTAATGGGCTCTGAAAACGTAACTGCTGGGTGGTGGGAGATATAACCTAACAAGATCGCACAGTATAGCAATCATAACAAGGATATAAGAGTGTCCTACCTAATTTCCCTTGAGGGAATCAAATAATGTAACCTCTCAAAGATAATGCAGAAGTGGTGGGGCCCAGGATTCCTTTGGAAGATACTGAGGGCAGGATAAACATTCAACATGTTGTTGATCAGGGTACCATCTGCATGCTTATGAACATTAATATCCAATTTTCAATATCACAATGTGTGAGAGATAATATTCGTTCATTCACAGTCTTTTTCATTATTCAGATCCTATTCAAACTCTGTCTCATGTAGTCTGTGTAGATGCTTAAACAGAGGTATATTTTTATTCTCTGAAATATTGTAACAATGACAGTGATTAAGAGTGGAATTTGTCCAGAAATGTGGCCACAAAAATTTGTCTTAATACAGGTTTGAAGACTGTAATATTCTCAGCATTGGCATAGAGAATATGGGATTTTGTTCTTCCAGTCCTTATGCAAAAATAATTTTCTCAAGTTTTATGAATACATTTTTCTACTCAGTTTTTTTGTACTTCATCTGCTTAAATCTTGTTTACTAATTTAAATGCATTACAGGCACGGTTTCAATTACTAATATTTGTATGTTTCTTCACAAAAGCCAGGTAAGGTAACATTTCCCTGGAGACGGTATATAGTAAGTCAATAAAATATGTGTGAACTTTAAAGTGGTAGTTAAGTTTACAATGCACAAGGCGATGATCTGTTTGACATACTGCATGAGGCATCACTCGGGTATGATGAACATCACGAACATTTTTCTGTTGCACCAAGACATACTCAGTAAGGTGCCAATGCTTGGATTGAGGATGCATCCAGGTTGTCTTCAAACTACCTTTCTGCTGAAAGCTCTGCAGCGTTTAACATCCTGCTTTGCAAGGCTGCTGAGCTTTTTGGGCTGAAAGTCAGCTTGAAGAAAACAAAAGTTTTCTACCAACCCGCACCTCAGGAAGTCTTCCGTCGTCCCCATATCGCCATTGGCGAAACAGAGCTCAAGTCAGTCCAGTAGTTTAATTATTTGGGAAGCATCATCTCCTCGGACAGTAAAATTGACAAAGAGATAGAAAACAACTTAGCAAAGGCATACAGAGCTTTCGCTAAACTCCATAAAAGAGTTTGGTGTAATAAACACCTGAAGAAAAGTACTAAGATCAGTGTTTACAGAGCCATTGTACTGTCTACTCTTTTATGTGGATCTGAATCCTGGGTCGTTTACCGCCACCACTTGCGTCTCTTAGAACGCTTCCATCAGCGCTGCCTCCGTACAATCCTTAACATCCACTGGACTGACTATGTGACCAACACATCTGTCCTTGAACAGGCAGCACTCCCAAGCATTGAGGCCATGCTGCTGAGAACTCAGCTGCGCTGGGCAGGGCATGTCTCCGGGATGCAGAACCATCGCCTCCCTAAGATCGTGCTTTATGGGGAACTTGCCACTGGCTGCCACAAGAGAGGAGGCCCAAAGAGGAGATACAAGGACTGCCTGAAACAATCCCTCAGCCTTGGCCATATTGATCACCACCATTTGGCTACTCTGGCCTCCAATTGGGAGTCCTGGAGACACACCATCTATAATGCTGCTGCTGCTTTTGAGAATACACTCAGGGTCATTCTTGAGGAGAAAAGACAACACAGAAAGAACCATGTCTTGCCAATACCGCCTAAGGAGACTTTGTGCTGTGCCTTCTGCAACCGGACATGTCTATCTCGCATTGGCCTTTTCAGCCATTAGCGCGCTTGCAGCAAGCGTGGGTAGAGCCCTTCTCAAATCTTTGTTCATGAAGCCTAGCCATGATGATGAAAATATGTGTAACATGATTGCATCAGTCCAATACACACAATTATTGAGCTGTTCAAATGCTCACTATTTATGTTTTTGTTCTTAGAGAAAACAAAAAGAACTTAAATATTATTATTTTTATGCAAATGAGATATTAATTATACTTCTAAATTAATATTCCCAGTCTTTAAATGTAAATGAATAATCTACAATTCTATATTTCAATCACTGAGGAATGGGAATTGATGCATGTTTTCCTTCCAGTTCTTTTTAATGGAGTCTGAAGCTGTTATAATCATGACAGATATTACGCTTTGAATATCACTATTGTTCCAATATCCCTTCCTAATTTTGTATAAAACTTGAAATAGAAATATTGGGTTGTGAATTTCCCCATTAATTTCAGTTATACATTAAGTGAAAAGCAGTTTTAAAATTACCTTTAAAAATCAGTACTGCTGATTTTGGAAAGGATATATAGTTTCTTACAAATTAAATCTAATTGCAAGAAGTCTATGTAGATAAAATGAAGAATGGTGCTAAAGCATATAGAAGATTTGTATGTCAAGGCCTTTAAGAACATATTTCAGGATCTGTTGGGGAGATCATAACTGCATGCATTAGCTTGAAGACAGACCTAGCTTTCTTCAGTTTGGGAAATGTTACGTCAGGTGATGTGTAAAAGACAATGAGATCACGAACCATTGACGAGTATAGTTTTTACATTTGTAAGGTAGGTAAGATCTTCACTGGGAGCTGTAAATTCATGCATTAAACTACACATATAAACAAAAATAAACTATCCTCTGTCTCTGTATCCACAAATTTCCTTGTCCTTTCTAAACCAATGCTGTAGTCCCAGATTTAATTAAAACAATGATTGAAGTATGTACAGCTGCACACTCAAGCATAAGCCATAAACACACAGAAATATTAACAACAGAAATGCAGGCCTGTCATATTTTTGTAAACCTATTGCTTTCCCTTAGAAGCCAGTGTTTCATCTTAATGATGAACATGGACAGGATAGAACATTATGTCCTGGATCCAAGGAGAGAGTGAGTAGGTATTTCTAAAAGTATGGAGTACACACATGTTCTCCTTGCAAGGAGCACAGTATTGTTCTCATTCTTGAGCACACTCTTGTCAATGTCGAAAACCAGGACTGGAATTTTTAGTGTTATGCAATGTTGTACTTACGCTGTGAGTGTGACTGATTGGTATTTGCAATGCCAGGGGTTTGTTTTTTTTTTTTTTTTTTTTTTTTTTTTTTTTTTTTTTTTTTTTTTTTTTTTTTTTTTTTGTTTGGGTTTTTGATTGGTTGGTTGGTTGGTTGGGTTTTTTTTAATGTTTCTTGTATGTGTGCTCATGGTTGTCTCCAAGCTACAACATTTGCTTAGCTAAGATCCTGCCTTAGTTCACAAATAAAGCAATATCATATTCATAGGTCTGTTTCATACCACTGTCAGAAGTGGGAAGTGTGTTGGTAATTTCGGAGAGAACCTGTAGAATGATGTAAGTTTTATTGAATAATAAATAATGGTCCTTAACAAGGCAAAAAACCGATTCTCTTACTTTCTTTCACTGCTTTTCTGTTTCCTTTGCCCTTGTCCCCAGCTTTTATCCTCTCATTTTCATAACCACAAGAAGACAGTTTAATCTCAAGTGTAAGACTGCAAAACCAGCTTTGAATTTCTTTGATTGTTATTACTGTATATTTTGACACCAGCAACAAGAACCAGAGACTAGCTAGATCTTACCAGCTGAGATAATTAGTTTGGCAGATCCATCGCCCATTCAGCCTCAAATGTTGGCATGTTTTAGGCACCTCTGCTTGTATCATGGTGAGTATCCATTCATTTATGAGTTACTTTGTTTTCTATTTTTCATTAGGTATACTAGAGGTCATATGCTTTGCTTCCAATAAAAAACACTTACTCCCTGTGTAAGTAATTGTGTAATCAAATCCTCAGAGGTTACAGGAGGGAAGGGACCCAGAAGAGGTTAAAAAACAATCCTTCACTCAGAGAAGTAAAGCAGTGAAAGTAGGGTGCAGAGCTGGCAAAACTGGGGAGAGTAATGAAGAGAAGGATAAAAAATTAGTCTCCAGAGTATTAGAGTACAGTTGAGGAATGAAAGTAGTTTTGAAGTGCCTGGAAAAAAAGGCAAGGAGAAGTTACAATAATAAGTGGTAAATCCATGTGGGCAAACTAGATGATCACGGTCAAGATCAGTGAAAACAAATGATAAGCAGAAAAAGCAAAACACACAAAACATTCCGATCTGTAAGCCAGAACAAACAGTCAGGGTAACAACTTGACATGCTTTTCAAATTTTTGAAGGAAAGAAAATGTCAACATAAATAGTGAGGGGAGCAATTGTAGAACCTGATAGTGGAAATTAAAGGCTTCTATTAATCAGTGTCCATTTCTGTCTAATAATTTAAAGTTTTGCTGTAAGGCAAGCAATGTAAATTTCCCTTCAAATGAGAGCAAACATAATTTATTCTAATTTATATGTATTTGAATTGTATATATGGCATATGATGGCTTTATTTTAACTAATAATCTGTCTCTGTGGATGGTAATGTCTGTTCTTTAGTAGCCGGGTAGATTTCAACGCAGTAGCTTGACTGAAATGTGGCAACCCCACACACTGCTGCCCTAGCGGAGGAGTCTGAGGAGTCCCAAACTTGTACTGACAACAGAGCCTTGTATTGACTACCTGGAGCAGGGCAATCTGATTTTGCAACTTTGCTGTCGCCAATAGATTTTTGTATACATAGTAGCAACAAAAAATAGGATTGCAACATCAAGGTCACTCCTCACCCATGGAGCAGGGAAATCTCTTTATGCTTTAAAGGAGCAAAAACATCCAGAAAAAACATTCAGCTCAGCTGCCTGGGTTTTAGAGTCTTTGATGGTCTGTATGCGTAAGTTCCCAGTATGGTCACAGGAGCCTACTCAGCTCACTCTGTGCATTTATTTTCAGAAGAGCTGAACAGCTCTCTAGACAAAGTCTAGACAGTAAGCTTGGCTGCCTAAGACCTCAGTTGACTATAATGGGAGTTCAGACACCTTGCTGACGAATGGACATCCGTGTGTAGGAGTCTGAATTTGCAAGCTGACATCCTGCTCTTTGAGTGTCGTAGCCCAGGCAGAGTGCTGGGGAGTCTCCTGGAACAGGCTGGGTGGACACCCATCAGGTCTGGCAGCTTCAGCTCCAGCTGTCGACCAAGCCCTGCTCCCCTGTCTGGCACCTGGAGGCTGCACAGCCCCCGCCAGCAGTCAGCAGGCTGATGAGCTTGGTGGGGTTTGTTCCTTTGCTCGGATCAAGTGTAAAAGGTATTTTCCCTAATGAAGAAAGCAGCAGGTACCATTTTACCCAGGACTGGTGGCTGTTTTCTCTACTGAGGGCAAACACGCTGGCTGAAACCTCTGTGTTTTTAAGCACTACACACAAAACATGCCACTGTCATTCACTAGCCCCTTGTAATTTCTGCTAAAATATTAAGCTGGACCACTGGGAAAAAAAAAAGTAAATAAAAGGTTAGGTAAATTTTTCTTATGGGGACTAATTATAAAATCCATGACTATGTTAATAAACAAGCTGTTGACTTCAAGTATGTTGGCAATGCTCCCTCCTGTATTTCCTGAATGTGTTCCAATAAACAAGTTTACTGGAAGGATGAGGGCTGATACAGGGAGTCTGAAGCTTACCTAAGAGGGGAGAATTACTTTTTGTGTTTATAATTGTGAGTATTTGCTGCTGTGTCTAACAGTGCATGTCTTAAAAGATATTGTCTAGCTTATAAAGTAAAAACAAATGTTGCAGATCAAAATCCTGTTTTCATATAAAACCCTTACCAAATTAAAAAAAAAAAAAGAAAAAAAAGAAAAGATAAAAATGTTATTGAGAAATTCTATGTCCTGGAATTTTCCATGTCAAGCTGATCCAATGCAGACAGAACAGACTAAAGAGAGGATTTTTTTTCTGTGCTTGCCATTTAAATAGGGTGAGGTTAATATTTTTTCCCAATTGCAATCTCCTTCTGTAGTGATAGGGTATGTTTCTAATTTTATTTACAGAGGTGGGTGGGTTGGATCACTAAAACTAGGATTTTGGTTAGTATGTGGATTTATATCCCTGCTCCTCTCTGTAAAGACTGGGGCTGCTTGTATCCAGACTCATCTTTTCAATTAATTTGCAGTAATTAAAGGGTGCTGTGTGGGATGGGGCTAAAGAGAAACACAATTAAAATCTAATGCTTTTACTTTGGTAACTGCATCCTTATTTATTTTAAACCATCTTCAACGCTCTGACGAGTTTAAGTCTTCCTGTATCACATACTGTGCAAACAGAAATATGTGAGTGAACTGTTGCCAATGGCTCTGAGCAAGCATGGGGCATGTTTCAGATTACACTGTGTTTTCTTGTTCGGATCTGATCTCCTTGCTAGGAGAGGCTGAGAAAGGCAGCTCTGGGGGATTTACTTCTAGCAACAGCAGCAGCAGCAGCACATGATCCATCAATCGCGTGATTCTCATCACCAAGGACTAATGGGGAGGGTGAAGAAAAAGTAAATGCTGCCTTGGGTAAGCAACAGCATTTTCTTCTGCTCCTGGGGCCCCTCTACTAGCCAGGCATTTCATGGCTTCTCCAAGGTTAGAAACCTACTGCTGCCCTAACAGGGATGCAGCTACACAGCTAGTGATGAACTTCCAGCCTGAAGTCTTCTGCGGAGTTTGCATTGGCAGTGCCTCCATCAGTCTGACACTGACCATCCTGCAGCTTCTGCCAAAGAAAGGGCAGAGCCCACGGAAGATGCCCAAAGCCTCCTCCTCTTCCACCATCCTTCTCCTTATCTCCATTTGTGACATCCTCGGAGGCTTAGGTAAGTGCCCACTTGATGTGCCTTGCCATTGCTGTAGCAGGCTCATGTTGTCCTGAGGTACCATAGACAAATGAAACTGGTGAATGGATAGCAGAGATTTCTGAGGAAAACATGCTGTGTGTGTTCACAGAAAGATTTGAGCTAGGTGAGTTCAGAAAATAGTAGGCCTTTGGGGAGAAAGTTCTTGTTTAATAGTTATACTTGGGAAGTGAAAGTACTTGACAAATCTACACCAAAATCTGTGCTTTAAAACAAATTAAAATCCAGAATGGTGACAGGTCCTCAGGCATAAAAGTGGTGGTGATGCAGCACATTGAAAACTAAACCTGACATTACACACTTAACCAATCCTTAGGACTACATTTGAAAACCACTATCCTGTGTGTCTTTAAATCCTCTCAGACCAAGTGTACTTCTTGTTCATGTGCCAGCTGCTTCTCTGGGCACATTACATTGACAGCAAGCGAGTTTGAATTGCAGCTGGACACAGGCTTTTGAAATGGGAGTGAAGCTCCCTTATCAAGGATAACCTGTTGTCCAGCCCTTGGCTGATAAGCTGGAGGAACAGAACAGCAGAGAATAAAAAATACATGAGTCAAAATAAAACTAATGTGTCTTAAGCTGTCCCATCGGTCATTTACTGCCAAATTGTGTATAAATTACCATGACACATGAAAATACAGGACAAGTTTGTTTCTATAGTGGCATTTTTTCCTTCACATTAGGTAACAGAAGCAGTGCTGGTTTGTGTCTCTTGCTTCTGGGGATGGGGCGGGGGGAGTGTGTCTGTGTGTGTGTGTCTGTGTGTGTTTCAGGTCTTTTCCCCTTTCATACCTAGCCAAGTTCTCTCACAGTACCTAGTAAATACCAATACTTAAACAAACATTAAAGGGGGAAATAAGGAAAGAGGGATATAGAAAATGCATATGTGCATTCACCTGGAAAAGGTCCTTTTAGTCAGATGAGGCCAGTAGAGTTGTTTTTTTCCCTTTCTCTTTCACAGGCAAACTCAAACTAGTTATCCAGTATTGTGTTTGTATTAGACTCACTTTGGTGGGTGGGAAACAGTTCATTCTTGGTGGGAAACCTGGGGTGTTTGTTTTGTTATATGTTGGTGCTTTATTTTAAGCAAACCCAGAAAACCTCACTAACAAACTCTAAATTTCTTTTTAAAAAGGATATTGTTCTGACCTAATTCTGAAGCCCTGCTTTGGCTCAGTCCTGTGACAGAGAGGAAAAGAGTTGCTTGTAAAAATGAAGGCAGTGGAAAAAAGGAAATAAACTTTTTTTCAGCAATGAGGAATTATAGAGAAGTGAATATCAGCGTATGAATATATGCTGGTAAAATTGTAATAGTTAGTGACTGGTTTATGTCAATCTGTTAACTGCTACTCAGTTTATTTTAAGGAAGTGTGTCAGACCATCTGTAAGTAAGTGAGATTTTAATCTACATAATATTACAAGTCCCAGCAGCTTCCGACTCTTGGGGCTGCTTTCCCTGAACGATTACACTGACAATTTAAATAACAGAGTTGTCCCTACTGTGCTCCTCTGCAGCCATCGCCTTCCGGGAGACACACAAAATCTGGGCTGCGATGTGAAATATGTGGCCCGGGGAAAGCATGTGACTCACACCAGCAGATTCAAAGCATTAATACTTTTTTTGTCTTTAGGTATGATCTTTAGGTCAAGTGTATGGCTGGGCTTCCCAGGCTTCATAGCTAACATTTCTGTGGTGAACGGGACTGATGTGTGGCCTTCCACTTTCTGTGTGGGGAGTGCGGTAGGTACAGAGACCATCCCCCCTTTCTTCTCCTCCCAGTTAACAGTCCCTCCGTGTGGGGAGTCTGAAAGGCAAACTACTGTGTCCAAAAGGAAATGCAGCTGTGAGTCAGAGCCTGGATATGGTGGTTTCAGCCTCTGCCACACCCCTACAAGTGCATTCATGCCTCCCCTATGAGAGCCTGGATCAGGACAGGCAGGGTGCTACACAATGCTGCAGTTCAAAGTGTACAATGTAGAAGTGGATATGCTGCATGTAAAGGAAATTATTCAATAGTTTGTAAATAGAACAATATGCGCCAAATTGAACTCACTGTGCCTTATATGCCTATATAATGGCAATTTCAAACATGATAGTTGTGTGCCATGTACACAAATACAAATTACATGCACCTATTGCTTCTCAGTTCTGTCATACATGTTTTTTTGCTTATTGGATGCATATACTGATTTTTTTCTTCAAAAAAGAGGAAAGCAACAGCATCAGTATCTTGTAGCAAGAATGTCCTATTCAAAACCTATGTTTCCTCATGTTTTAAATTTCACTTTCTAGCCCTTAACACAAAAAATAGTATTTTTCAATTATGACAAGATACTGTATGCAGACTGCTTGTTTTTCATTTGAATCTCAGGTTAGATGGTGAGCAGCATATCGGTCTACCACAATTTTTATTTTCCCCTTCTTGGACTCTAGTAAAATGCTGTAATTTTAGTCACTTTAAGTTTAGATTTAATTATATTGGAATGGAAACTAACCCTCCTTCCACTCACTTCCCATACATATTCTCGTGTGAGTTAATAAAATGTTTCCAATTCTATTTTATTTTTTATTTTTGTACCACTGTTTTATTTCACTTAACCACAAGCCAATACATATTCCAAATAGTGAGGCTGTTAGACATCTCCTTTAAATGGTTTGCAGAGGGGTACTCTCTTAGGCACCGGGGCAAAATATGTCATTTTGCTAAAAAGTAAGATAACATATGAAAATTTTGGTTATAAGTGCATCTGATTTATGTCCTTTGTATATGTTGGATTTTTTGGAAATCCCCGCAGTTTATTTTTGTATATGTGTATGCGTGTGTATATATAGTAAATTGGGATTTTTCAACTGCAGAAATATGTAAACGTGCAGATGAAGTTACATGCTCAGAGCCATGGGTAAAGTGCATTAGAGGGAAGAGTGGAATTTTATTTTTTGGCTCCTGTGCACGGTGTTTGAATTAAATGCTGAATAATTTGTGCCACAAATGACTAGAGGTAGGGTCTACACCCATGGGGAAAGGAAATATTTCCCTGCTTGATTTGCCTTTCAGAGGACGGAATGTTGATCTCTATTCACTGACATTTGGCTCAATAAAAAGTATGTTGGTTTCCAGATGTAAAATGATGTTACTATGGAGTTGTGATAAAGGATATTCAGATAAGAATTGAAAGATGTCTTGGAGGGAAGATAATCCAAATATTAAAACAGTTCCAGACTATTACAAAGAGCCAGCTCCTACTGGGAAGAAATGTGGAATTTATATACAGTGGCAGAGAAAGGTCACTTATCTTATACAAAGTCATGGGTAAAATGCATAGGGTCAGGTCAAGAATGCTGTTGAATTTGACTTGAATCTGTTTCCTTTGGGTTTTTATTGAAGAAATCAGTCAGGAAATTCAGTATGGATATTTTTCCAGAGGGTGAGTGATTTTCTCACTAATGACTTTTTTCTCTTGATAACCATTCCTTGAATCACGTTCTTGTGCATTGACAAAATACCTATCACATTCAGAACCAAGAATGCGTAGGCATACTGTGGTTATAACTGACCTCAGTTATATTTTCATGCCTCAGCTACTGAGAAACACTTAAAATTTTAACCTAAAATCAAAACTTCCTCACTATAAATTTCTTTGGGCTTCACTTATGACACTGAGGTAATAGGAATGGAGAGGTAAATAACAGGTTTTCTAAATTAGAAAATAACCTGTGAAAGCAAACACTGCTCAATTTACCTGTGACTTGACCCATAGGCTACAACAATGCTGTTCCTGTGATTTTGAGTAAGATTTCATACTTCATGATTTTGTCTTGCAAATACACACATTTGAAGAACAGCTCACCAGGCCAAAGTCCCTCCCCTGCCCCAGTGGTACTCGAGAAACAGCTGTGACATTTGGCTTTTTTTCCCCTCCAGATGTGGATCCAGCTGTTATATAGCGCTGGCTTCTGGTGGTTGTTTTGCTATGCTGTTGATTCTTACTTGGTGGTGAGAAGATCGGCTGGACTGAGGTACCAGAGTTAAAGCTCTGAATTTGTTATTTTTGTTCCAACACTGTACATCTTTGTTTGCAGCTATCTAAGGGTGTAAGTGAAGTTTGTACAACCATCTGATGTTCATATGATAGGTAATGATAGGGATGAGTGGTGTTCCAAGTACCTAAATTGCCAGGGCAATGCTCAGATGTTTATGTACATCCAACCTGAATTTAAATGTAACTGGACTCATTTAACCTTTGGAAAAATATGAAGCAAATTGTGGTCTATAAATTTTATGGCAGTAACATATCTATTTTGGTACCTACTCTGTACCTGAAATTGATCCTTGCAGCAAAAAAAAAAGTGTTATCCTGAAAATCAAAAATTGAGAGGGGGAAAGTGCTGAATTTAATATAGTTTTAAGAACTTTTTAAATTTTTCTCGGATTTTCTATTTTATCCTCTTCTCAGGGTGGTCATTATTTCCCTTCTGATCACGCTTGTAAAACTCCTCAGAAGAATGAAAGGTATTTACCATATATTTTTCTGCAATGCCCATGACAGAAGAACCTAAACCCTTTGGAAAGTACCGTGCTTTATTGCCAGACAGAAAGCATCTGATGTCTCTAAGATGGTTGTTAAAAGAACAAAATAACCTTCAGTTGCTACTGCTAAATGTGGAATTATGTGCCCCTGTTCCCAGAGGATACTGAGCAGTCAGGGACAGAAGACATGGTTCTTATGGCAAATGTTACCAAGATGGGGCTTTCTGAGTTAATTTCAGACTGCTGAGGATAAACCTGATTTTGTGAAGTCCACAGTTCTAGCCTGAAACATCTGGGCCCTGCTTCCTTCCCCCTTCCCTGTTAGCCAAAAAAATCATGTGTATTTGTGCTTGATTCTAAGATCAGAGTAAACAGCAAAAGACTTTCTACACACACAGATCTGAATCTCTCTGACAGGAGAAGTATCCAACTCTGAAAATTAAACATAATTCTCTTCAAATTCAGTGAGTGTTTTATTTGACTGTTCAGCTCCATTCTTAAATTTTAATCTGCTAATTCGCTCTCTGCAGGAGAAATTAAAGATGCAGGAGTTCCTTCTGGATAAAGGGAAGGGAAGAAGTCCTGACCCTCTACCCTACAGGCTGGAGGGGACAGGACCTGAACAACTTTGCTTTGGTTCATTTTTCTTCTGAAGGAGCCCCCCCGCCACCCCTCCTTTCCTTAGTTTAATGTACTGCCAGTATTGTTCTGCATAATTTCCTATATGTAAAGCTCTTTTTCAGTGAGGGTCCTATTTTTACCTTGCAACATGGAAAGCGTAAAGTCTGATATCTTTAATTGTGCCTGTCTGTTTGGTGCTTGCAGTACAATTGTGCTGTACCACATGATGACGTGGGGCCTTGCAGTGCTGCTTTGCGTGGAGGGGATTGCACTGCTTTACTACCCCTCTATCTCCAGGTAAGCAGAACTCTGGGAACAGACTGCAAAATCGTAGCACTGTCTGGTCATTTGAATGTCGTTTGGTCAGCTTTAGAGACAGACATCCAAAAGCTGGACATTTTGACCTCTGACAAGCATGTCCCACTGAGTCAGTGAGTATGCTAGAAATACCTCCCTGGGTTTCAGGGGGCCCAGAAGAAATATGCCAGGCAATACAGGCACTTGGGCATGCTGCAGGGCTGTGATACAGCTTCTGCTGTGAGCCACTGCTCTCCCACTCCTGATTTAACTTTCCTTTAAATTTGAGAAAAAGTACAAAGACAGTGCGTGTTAAAAATCAGCTTTATGTCCAATATGAACTGGTGGTGAAGATCTATGAATGATAAGTTTTGCATCTGTTTGCTTCTTTCCTTTTTATTTTTATTTTTTTTTTAAGTTAAAAGTGACATAGAATAGCCAGAACTGTCAGCTATGGGGAAAAAATGCATAAGCTTTTAATGATTTCTTCTCAGCTGTGAAAATGGCTTGGAACATGCAATCCCACATTATGTCACAACCTATGCCCCACTCCTGCTAGTGATGGTGGTCAACCCAATCCTGTTTAGGAGGACAGTATCAGCAGGTATGTTCCTACAGGCCAGTATCAATCAATATGTATTATTTAGCACCTGGATAGGCTGGAGAGTTGGGCTGATTCCAACAGGATGAAGTTCAACAAGGCCAAGTGCCAAGTCCTGCACTTTGGCCACAACAACCCCCTGCAGCGCTACAGGCTGGGCACAGAGTGGCTGGAGAGCAGCCAGGCAGAAAGGGACCTGGGGGTACCGATTGACAGGAATCTGAACATGAGCCAGCAGTGTGCCCAGGTGGCCAAGAAGGCAAATGGCATTCTGGTCTGTATCAGGAACAGCGTGGCCAGCAGGAGCAGGGAAGTGATCCTTCCCCTGTACTCAGCACTGGTGAGGCCACACCTTGAGTATTGTGTTCAGCTCTGGGCCCCTCAGTTCAGGAAGGATATTGAGGTGCTGGAGCAGGTCCAGAGAAGAGCAACGAGGCTGGTGAAGGGACTCGAGCACAAGTCCTATGAGGAGAGGCTGAGGGAGCTGGGGTTGTTTAGTCTGGAGAAGAGGAGGCTCAGGGGTGACCTCATCACTCTCTACAACTCCCTGAAAGGAGGTTGTAGCCAGGTGGGGGTTGGTCTCTTCTCCCAGGCAATCAGCAATAGGACAAGAGGGCACGGGCTTAAGCTCTGTCAGGGGAGGTTTAGGTTGGATATTAGAAGTTCTTTCCAGGGAGAGTGATCAGGCATTGGATTGGCCTCCCAGAGAGGTGTTGAATTCACCATCCCTGGAGGTTTTTAAGACGAGGCTGGATGTGTCACTGAGTGCCATGATCTAGTAATCACAGTGGGATTGGATCAAGGGTTGGACTTGATGATCTCGGAGGTCTCTTCCAACCCAGTTACTTCTATGATTCTATGAAAACAGTACTGTAGAAAGTCATGCCTTTGTATTCAGTGATGTGGGACAGCTTCTCAGCAAAGGGTGGGAGAGAGTTGCCTATTGAAATGAAGATACCATCTTCATGGGGAATTTGCCCTAGAGAAATATTCTGATGACATACTTAACCTATTCTGTTATAAAACCCTACTGTAGATTGCTGAAGATATTTCTATGTTACTTGATTTAAAGCATTTGAGGCAATTTATAGTGGATGCTAAACTCTACTGTAGTTTTGGTACCAACCTGGACTTTGGAATGTAATTTATTCTGGTTTAAAGATAACATTGGTGAGATCTGAGAGTTGATTTAACTTCTTGGCAGCCCAGGAGCTAAAACTGTAATAAAATGTGATCAGAATTTTGTCCCTTCTGATTCTGAGATTATGAAACAAATGGGAATTGTACACAACTCAGATGAGATCTTGAAGTTCCAATTTATTTGCTATCCAGTGCTTGGAAGAAATGAGCCACAGATTCAATGCATTCTTTGTATGTAATATGATAATTTCTAGATGTTTGCAGTATCTGAGTTTATCTACACACTGATTATATAAAAACAGCAGGAGAAGATCTAGTCTTCTCAGTTTAGCATTCATCCCTTCTATCCTGTGTCTCAGTAATACTGATTTTCAAAGGAACAGTTGTTCTTTTAAGAAGTTTTTCCCATAAGAACTTGCCCTTTTTATGGGAAAATACATAGAGTATATTTGTTTGTGCATTTGTATATTCCTTGTGACATCTGAACAGCATGTGGCATAATTATTTTTTCTGACATTTCATCTTCAAGTTTTAGAGGTGTAGCTAATGCTTTATCAATGACACAGTGAAATAAAATGTGCATAATAGAATAGAATCTATTCTATTTTAGTCTGAACATCACGTAGTAAGTGTATAATTACATCACACATAGTATAGAAGTTGTATGCACTACCTGTAGTTATAAAATAAAAGTATGTTGACCATAGTATTTAATATATTTAGGGGGATTGAGAGAAGAGAAACCGACTTGTGGGTCGTTTTAGGAATCCAAATGTGTGTAATGATTTTCCTTTAGTATTAGGCTGTATGTGAGATTCCTTGATGACGGTCCTTCCAGCTTCTGAACTGCTGCTGGGGACAAATCCATTTGTTCCTTTGTACCCTCTTTACAGGCATCTGCCTTCTGGATTCTTGTGCCTAAACTAACAAGATACATGTATATTAATGAACATAATTGTATACTTTCCAGTTGCCTCCTTACTGAAAGGAAGACAAGGGATTTATACGGAGAATGAAAGACGTCTGGGAACAGAGATCCAGATGCGCTTCTTCAAAATTATGCTGGTATTTGTTATTTGGTAAGAGGTGCATTATTTTTGCCTTTTTCCCAGGTGGAAAAGGTCAGGGACAAGAGTAAAGCCTGATAATTTGCTTCATTTTTTTGTCTGTATGCTTGGAAGGGAAGGTGTATAAGGAAGAAACAGTTCTACACTAGTTCACAAAGGAGTCGAATCATTCCTATGACATCACAAAGCTGTGAGGAAATGGTAAAATGTGTAACCAACAGAAAAGCAAAAGCACCATGAAACAATAGTAAAAAAACTCTCAACAGTTTGGGCATAGACTGAAGCTGTGTGGTACAGCAGCTCCCCAGCACTGAGGGCTGATAGATGGCTTTCTGTAATCAACATTTCTCAGAGCCTCTTGTCACCAAACACATCACTGAAAACCTACAATAAATATGCTTCTAAGACTGTCTTCATGGCTATGATTATGTAATGCTGCCTCCCAAATGCCTGAAAAGAACATGGTTATTGACTAGAAATACAAGGTTATATGCCAGAAATGTCCATAAGACTGTGTGTGAAATTTAATCTTTTTTTTTTTTTTTTTTTTTTTTTAGTGTTCCGTCTTTCTCCATGAAAATAGTACTTTGAGTTAGGATAGGAAAGAGAGAGACAGTAGGACAGGGAGGAGAGGAGTGAGGCAACAGGAAATGGTCCTAGAGTAGTGAAATGACTTGGCCAAACTTATAGTCTTTACAACTACTTAATTTTTTTATACTCAGGTGTATTAATGCATGTTATGTTGCTTTAAAAGGCTGAGCAGGGTGAAAGGCTGCCTTTTTTATCTTGTCTTGGCTGCTGGACTGCTCTGAGGGGAAATGATTATCTTTTCTTAGGGAATAACTGAGTCCGCTTGGCTTGGAAGTGAAGTTTCCAATGTGAAGGGTAGGGTAGCCAGCAGAGAAAGGAGAGAGAGACAGCAGTAAAGGATCCTGAGGCATGGCTTCCTGGAAATTGCTGAAATAATGAGGAGCAGAGATTTAGTCAAGCTTCCAGGGCTGTGGAAAGAAAGAACCCAGAGGCACTACAGAAGTGCTTTGCAACCTAAGGAATGGTGGCCAGCTTGATGACCTGGGAGCAAGCATGAAAGAAAAGGCCAATTTCCTGTGGACACTGTGGGGACATTTTTTTATTTCCATTATGTCTCATTCTGGGTTTTCCCTTTGAAAAAAAAAATTAATCACAGCTCGGGTTTAGGATTTTAAAACATAGGTTTTAGAGTGTAAAAACCTCTCTCAGAGATTACTGGAGGGAAAGAGACTGAGGCAGTGCCCTCTCAGAAGCTTACAGAAGATTTCCTTCCATCCCAGAAGTCAGATCTGGAATGACTTAGTCAAAGACAGCAGGTTGGGGCAACAGAGGGTAGAAGAGATGCCTACAGATTTGGGAGGGGAGAGCAGGAGGTTTTACACTGTGATAAAATATAACTGGGGGAAAAAAATACATAAAACCCTTTGGTAAGTATGACATGGATGCTGATGGTTACTTTTCTGAAGCTGCAGTAGAACTAATAAAGAAATGCTAGTCTAACTGTTTAGAAGTCATGGGAAATAACAGCCACTTGCTATAACCTTTATTTAGTGTAGAACATACTCAGTTTCTTTCACATAATGAGGCTTGATTATCCTCATCCTTATTTGGAAACAAGTATTACCTTTATTCAAAAAAATTGATAGCATTTTCAAGGGTTTTAAAGTACACTTTGGTATTGCTTTGTAGGGTTTTTTTTATGGACATTTTGAAAGTCTGCTGTAATTTAACCCTGAAATTCCAACTCCAGCTGGAATTCCTAAGGCTTTTTACTACGACATGTGCATATATTTGGTTTCCTTATCTGTGAGCTCAACTCTTTCAAGGCACCAGTGAAAAAAGTCGGCATGAATGATATTCCCATTATGGATCACAGTTACTTTTCATCTCAGTTTTATTCTGCAATTTATTGTCATTGTTCTGCAGCAAGTTCAAATCATCAGGTTCCATTTGTATGTTTGTTTGGTTTTTATGTTGACTTCTTTGTCTAGCCCTGGGCTAGTTGTCTGGGTAGGTGTCTGATTTCTGATCATGATCTCAGAAACCTACTAGTGCCTTCAGATTGAGATTTACCAAGTCTAGCTGTGTTGGACTTGATGATCTTAGAGGTCTCTTCCAATCTTAATGATTCTATGATTAAAAAAAAACCTTACTGTCCTTATTAGTGATCCTAATTTCTGTAATTTAAAGGTAAAGCATATTTTACATGTACATACATGTACGTAACTGTCTTTTTCTCCTTTACTCCTCCAATAGTTGGTCATCCAATATCATCAATGAGACCCTTTTGTTCTACCTTGAAATGCAGCCAGATATCAATGAAATGCCCCTGAAAAACATCAGAAGTGCTGCACTGATCACATGGATTATAATGGTAGGTCAACAGTGACATTGCTTAGTCTTAGAAATCACTGTTATAAGACTGGTGGAACAGCACCAGTATAGTATGTGGTTTTTGATTTTGGGGGATATAAACACTCTGAAAATCAAGGAAGAAAATCATTAAGTAAGAGAAAGGAATGAGCAGTCACTGGGAGTGCATTTCTCATAGACACTTGGACAAAAATGTATTAGAGACCAACTTTTTCTCCCATTTACTGGAGTATGCATTCTCTCGGGAGTGATCACTACCCATTTTAGGATCCAGAACAAACCACTACAATGATTTCTAGCCTAACCTTGCTAATCTCTGCAGTAATGCAAGCTGCAAAGTTTTAGCTCACAATTCCTGAAGGTTTCCTCATTAAATGGGCAGTTTTATGGCAATTCTCTGTTTGCAACTAATTTTAAAGAATAATTACATCCTATATCTTGACACTCTGGTCATTATTTGGGGACAAATAAATGAAAAATCTTGGAAACAAGGCACCAAAAATAGCTGTAAGATGCTGTTCTGTTGCTGTACCTTATCCTCTTTTCTCCTACTAGAATATTTGACAAGAGATTTTTCAGAGGTGATGTTGCATGTTCCTTTTCCAAGAGGATTTGTTCTGGAGCTGTTAAATAGCCGTAAGGCCTGAGCATCCTTTGTATAGTTAAGCCCTTGAACAGTTTGATATTGAAGGATTAAGTGATGCAACTGATTTAATACAATGTCCTCTCCTGAGAAGAATTGAACACATTCATGTGACAGAGACCTTGCTCTTGCTCACCTAGAGAGCAAGAGGTCAAGTCTAGGAACTGAACTATTTTTTAAATTGGCTGTAAAAATAATTTCCTCTTTTCCCGTGAGAAAAATGGAAGCAGCTAAAGCCATTAACTTGCTAAGCATCCCATCGCACTGAGAACAGGCAAAGTTTTTTGGAGATCACTTGAGATTTTCTTTTTCAGTGCCTCTCCCCATTTTTCTGTCTCACTTTGATGGATATTTTCACTGGCTCAAGAATCTAAAGGAATTCCAGATAGATCAATTCCTGTTAATTTGAAAAGCTTGTCTGTGTATGCTAGTGCCTACTCTCATATATTTGACTTGGTGTTTAGTGAAAAAAATATTTGCTTTCATGAATAAAAAAGTCTAGAGTTTGTGGGGAAAGTTAAAAACACACCAGGGGGTTGACTGGCTAAAATTCATACTAAAAAATCATTTGGTGCTTACGGTTCTCTGGGATGTCCTTGGCCATTTTAGAACAATAGGTCATGGTGTTTTACTCTGATTTGTTTGTGTCTGCAATGGCCAAAACATACATTTTTATTTGTATGCAAATAGCATATTATAAAGTCAGTAATTGTTCATTGAAAGGGAAGTTGTTAATACATGCAAAGTGTTTTGCTGGAGCTCAAAATGAAGCCCTGCTGGTGTAATTCCTGTTGTACTTCTCTTTCCCAGGGGGTTCTTAATCCAATGCAAGGCTTTCTTTTCACGTTAGCTTTCTATGGGTGGACAGGATGGAAAGTGGACCTGAAATGGCGAAAAAGAGAAATACCCTGGGAATCTATGTCCTCATCGACTGCGGGGGAAAATGCCTATCCCTCACCAGTGAACTATCAAAGCAATATCCATGATTCGAAGAAGATATCGACAACTGACAGCCAGCAGACTGATGAGGCTATAAGCATGTTGTCTGAAGGTAACACTAGCAGTGATGAGAGATTAACCAGAAGCTCTCCCATCTACCAGGGCTGGTAGTTTTAGGTGCCGAGCTGGCTCCAACTTTTCACATTGTCAGTACTCATAAAACCATGTCAATGTGTGAATCATTGCATACTCTGGAATTGGGTTTGTGCTCAGTGGCTTGATGTTATTTCCTATAACTTGTGAGAGTGTGTGAAAGAGCATGTAAGACAGAGAGGTAAGGTTTATGTCTTCATTTGCCTTCTAGGACACATATAAAAAGGTATAAAGACTTGATCCTTTTTCAGCAGGAGCATATCTCTGCAAAGATATGTTTCTTACAATTAATTTTCATCCATTTTGTTTTAATCTCTCTTGTAACCTCCATCCAGTAAAAGACTCTTTTGTTTAAATAAATGGACTATTAATGTGTTGGGTTTTTAAATGTGTTGCCTTCCTTGTCTTGCTCAGCATAAAATTCCTCACCCAGAATTACAGCTCTAGGATTTCTGAGGCACCATTTCCAGCCTTGACAGTTTGGTAAAGCATTAGTGACAGCAAACTCTGACTTAAGCACAAATATTTCCTGTTTGTGTAGACTCTCACTGTCATAGTCTTCTTTTAGCTTGTTTATGTATAGTTTTGGTGTGGTTTTATCTAGGGAGATGAAAAGCTTTTTTAAAAAAAAATCAAGCCCAGCATAGGCTCCACAAACACTTCAGAATAATGGTTTCAGTTCACTCCTGGTTCAAGCAAAAATAACCCTTCAAACTATTTTCGAGTATGGATTCAGCTTGGTCCTTATGTGTACTTACCAAACAGGATTATGACTGTTGAGGCAGGTGCATTAAGAGATAACATTTGCATAAAACACTTCGATGCTCTGAGTGCTCATAATAGAACAAACAGAATCAATAGTCCTTTCTCTGAGGTGGGCTCTATTTTGTATCTTCATCTGCTGAATGAATAGATATTACATCCATTCTTATTTTCTCAGATACATTCTTCTTTTGCCAGAGAGCCCTAAGTACCTGTATCCAAACAACTCCCCAGATTGGTTGAAAGTTAAGAAGAAATGATGACTATGTCTACTGTAGGCTTTTGACTTCATATCAAAAGTAGAAGTGATATGTTTGAAGTCTGGTTGTGCTGGAAGCTGCTTACAACAGTTTGACCAGTGGCCTGGTGGAAGCCCCTTGAGCCCAGAGAACAGCCCTCCCTTGCCTCAGCATGTGACCAGGGCTGGGCTTTAAGCCCTGCTCACATCCACTTTGGCTGAACTTCACTGGCTGTTCCCACCTTCCTTTTCCAGCCCAGTTCAATTTCAGCTGAATTTTTTCTTTTTTTGGAAAAAAAAAAAAAAAAAAAAAAAACAAAACCCAAAAACTTGTTAAAGAGAGATGAAAGGTTAATGCAATAACAACATGAAGCTTAAGCTCATGTGTTAATTATTCAGGGGAGTCCCAGGACGGTTTACCAGGATCAGCAGAACCACTACTGGAAAATATTGATTGGATCATTTAAATAAATTGTCTTCTCGAGCTAATTATTTGATACAAAGGCATTAAACAATGATTGGACAACTATTTAGGCAGATCATTACAGAGCTGGGGTTGGTTTGTAGCTAGTCTTTTGCATTGTGCCCTGTAGAACCTTTGTGGCTTTATGACTTTTTATTGCTGTTCTTATTGTCAGGACTACTGCCAGATCACCAGACCCTTTCACAGTCATTTGTTACCTATTTAAGTATGAAGAGAAAGCATGCAGACTATATTGATCCTTTTGAAATAGAGAGCATTTTTCAATGCAATACTCATCACAACTGAGGTCAAAAGAGTAGGAAAAATGTGGAGGTGGAATTGTTTAGTAAACCTTTTCAGATGCTATGGTGTGAGCCAAGCTGCAAAACCCTAAACCAAAATTAACAGTCTCTGGCTTCACAGGAATAATTATGTGGCACGAAAACACTCATGAAGTGACAGGCTGTAGCCAGAGGCCCTGTGAGATGACTGAATGACTAATCCCTCCCTCTCTTTAGTGCTCCAGGGCACATGTGGGACAGGGGCAGATGGGGTGTCCCAGTCCTGGTGCCTGCAAGGCCGTGAGCAGCCCCAGAGCAGTGCCAGGTGGCTGCTGGCACTGGAGCACTCCTGTGATGGGACAGCCTTCTGCAAGGGCCATGCCTTGCTCTTCACCTTTTCTTGTTCTTTCAGGGTTGTCCTTGGGGTGAGCGCGGTGTGCCTGTGTATTAGCAATCTAGTGGGATGTCATCAGGAAAAGTTAGGACTCATTTGAGAGCTTAAGAAAGACAACTATTGATGCACTGAGAAATTGATATGGAGCATTGCAGAGCAAACTGACAGTGATTTTTCACTTAAAAAAGAAGTAGGTGTGAGGAGAGTTTCCTTACCTGCTGTTCCCAGCCTCCAGTGGATGTACAGGAGGCATTCCTTCACAGCTTGAAACGGGGTGATAATTGGTTCTACTCATATGTAACCATGACCACATTTGATTTCACCTCACACAAACCTTGTTTTTGCCTCGTCATTCAAGAAATCATTGCCTTCTTCAAGTATTGCAGCAGATGCTTCTCTCTATTCCCACCAGGAACATGCTTTTGAGGTACATCTGATTGCCCCCACTGCCTGTCCTTGCTGCATGCACATGATGGGACAGCCACAGGCTACCACAGATGGCTTCACTTTGAGGGAAACTAAGTGTGTGCTCCAAGGGTCAGCAAGGGCAAACTTAGACACCAGGTCCTGGACAGCACTGCTGTAACACCAGCCTAAACACTGCCTTGTTAAATGTGCCATCCACTGTCCACTGCGAGGAACCTTGTGCTTGCCAACACACAGAAAAACATCCTGGCTTTCATTTTGATGATCTGTGTCTGCTTAGTTATTATGCAGGCTGCTCTGGTGAATATGGAAAGTGCTTGTCACTGGCCTGAATATTTGTTTTCTAAGGTGTGTTTCAAATATGGCTTGGGTTAACAAGGGAGAGCTCTTGTCAATACTGAAGTCCACAGATGCAGTCATTGTCTATGGTCTTCATCTTACACTATCTCTGGGAGGGGCTCACTTCCACAGTCACACAGCTCTTCCATTCATGATCAGGAAGCAGCTGTTTCTTTGGAACAGCAAGGTGTGACTCAGGGGAGAAGTAAAAAGAAGTAAAACAAGATCAGATACTGTCTAATAAAATATATGTAGCTAAAGTTTTGTTTCAAGACTACAGCAGTTGTCAATTTTAGCTTCTTATGTTTTGGTTATATTAGAGTACAAGAAGGCCTTTCTGAATTTATTAAAAGGAAAAAAATGTAAGTTAAAAAAAAAGGAGTTGAATCTAACATATTATATTACTGAAATATAATTGCTGTAGTGGAATCTCAAACAGAGGATATCTATACATACAGGGCAGAATTGCCTCTATTTAACCCCGTTCTCAACTCCCAGCCTGCTTATCAATTCCAACCACACACAGTTAAGTGTTCTCTGTATTCACCAAAACTTATTTTTAAGCACTTAAAGATAGAATGAAAGCTTGTGGAAAAAGTGCCTTCTCATATCCTGTTCTTAAACACTCCTAGTTGTTTTCTGTTTGTGGAAGAGGACATATGGAACTATATTTGACCTGCCAGCCTCATACATTTAATTACTATTTTATTTGACCAGATGTTCAGGCTAATTGCAAAGCTGAAATATGAGCACTAATAAAATAATAAACAACTTGAATAGGGAGATTTCTTGCATACCAAAGGTCTGCTTTTATGAGGTCCACCATATGTCTGAATACCAAAATCCTAACTACAACTCTTAATAAGACCAAATACATGGAGACAGCTCGAAAGGGAAAAGTTAAATGTGATCTCCCCATCCCCTGTATATCCATATTTGACTTGCACTTCAGTAATTGCCTCTGTGTGTTCGTGATGAATCTGATCTCCAAAGATTTTCTTAACTGTTATGGAATCCTCAAGTTTAGAGTAATCTTAGATGAAAATCACTAAAACATGTGGTAGTTAACGTAAGATGGGTCAGATGATGTCTGGGTCATTCATTCTTTAAGGAACAGACATGCATATGTGTGGACATTCAAGCTGGCAGCTGAAGGAGGTGCAGTCTTACTGAAAGCAAAATAGGGAGCACAGTCAAGTCCAGGAATCCAGGGATGAATCTATTTTCTGGATTTATGTTCCTTAGGGTATACTGTGAGCTGTATGGAAATTTGATTCTCACACTGCAGCTCTCCAAGCAAACTCTTAAGCATTCAGGGTGCTAAACTCACTATGGGTTTTGTAGGTAAAATTTTCAAAAAGCTGAGAAAATTCGAGGATGTGGCTATCAGGGAAACCATCCAGTGATGAAAATGATGGGAACACTTTCTGCTGCTCCTGCATCTCTTCGTTGCTGGGGCTTATCATATTTTGGGGTGGCAAGAAGCTTTTTAATCTTTCAGGCTTCTCCGTAGGGGACATTTGTTGCTTTGCAAAGCCAACACCAAGAGCTGAGGAAGCTGGCAAGGTGGCAGCTCTGTCCTGGGCTCTGTCCTGTTGTGTGTGGCAGTACAGAGGGCACTGTGGGTCTCTTTGTGCCCTGGTGTTGTATTGGGATGAGGTTCAGGCAGCCTCTTGCCCTGCTTCTGTCAGTAGGACACCAGGTCTTAAGGGGTGGATTGAGATCTGTACCTCCATCTGGTGAGTGGGAGGATGACAAGTCTGCTAATTAAGACCACCTTTGTCCACGAAGCCTTGTCCTAGCCTAGTTTTTCACCAGCTTTCCTCTGCCTCTCTCTGCACACATTCACACTGCATAGCAGAGGGCAACTCAGAGGGTAAATGGAGGCCTTGGATCCTTGTCCAGCTGCCTCCTGTGAGCCTCCAAAGTTTTGAAAACGTAGAACCAAACACACCTCTTTCATCATGCTTATTGAAACAGGTACTTTTTGAAGACATAGGTTTTAAAACAAAGCGGTGGGGTTGTTTCTGTGCGATGTAAGGAACCAGCTGTGGTGGCGGGGTTGTCCTTGCAGCACCCTCTCCCCTCAGGGGCACCAAGGCTCAGGAAGCACGAAAACACTGGCAGCCATTCATTGATGCTGCAGCCACATGATAGCATCTGCTCCTGGTTTGTGTGCTACATCAGACCTTGACTGAATTTCCTGAAGGAAAAGAGGGGAAAAAAACCCCAAAACAGCAGAAACGCAACTCCCTCCTTAGGCCAAGCACCACCTTTTATGTGGCATTGAAATGTCCTCCTCCTGGTCATGTGCCGCCATGTGACAGGGAGCACAGCATTCTTCTCACCAGCCTTTTCCTCAAGGCACCAGAATACTTGCCAAGGATCAGAAGCATTCCCCAAGCCACACCAAGTGCTCTGTGTAACAACCCAGCTCTGCTAAAGCCCCATGTCAG